ACGTAAGCAAATTGTTGTCAGTTATGAAAATGTGTCAAATTTTCCGCTTTATATTTTAATAATTTATAAAATTTTAATAGCTGTTATGGCTCAGGAGTTATGCTCACTTTTCCGATGCATATAGCTCGGTGGCACTATTTTGAGAACATTAAGAACTTTGTCAGCTAACAAGCTCTGTAGCGTTTTATAACTTACAATCTTGTAGCTACTGTTTTAGTTTTTTAAGTTAATGCAACTGGGAGAGTGCAGACAGTTAGACACATTTTTTGTTAGTTGATAACTTTTTGTTATCTTTATTCGCTGTTGAAATACGAGCGGCTAAACTGAAGGGATAGAAAGATAGGGGGAGGGCGCAGAGAAACTAGACTGTCTGCTTCTCTGCGCTCTCTTGGCGAGATAGCTAACAAAGAGTTGTCAACTATCAAAATGTGTAAAAATTGATTTTCTACGTTTTTGTAGTTTACAATGTTTTTCCAAATTTTTTAGTTTTTGAGATATACAGTCGTTTTTCATGGCTTATATAATTATAAACCAGGTCTTTGCAGGCCTCTGCCATAGTTTCTTTTAGAATCAATATTTTTGGACCAGCTGAATTAGATATGATAGAACTCAACATGCACTACAAAATTATACAGTTTGAAAAGCTGTATCTTGTCTATGAACAAAGTTACAGGCAAGACAAACCCGATCCGGCACGACCAGACCAAGCTCGGTCACTTTATGGGTTGTAACTTGGCTCATAGACAAGCTACAGTTTACCAAATTCTATAAGGGCTCGTGATGGCCCGGTCAACAGTCGATTAAAGGTGCACATGAGAAAGGTGCGATTACTGTACCTCAAGGATTTTCTAGTCTACTTTGATTGCATATATTGGAACTCTAACCTAAACTATCCGTTCTTTTTACCCCCAAATTTCTTTCCTAAACCAAATTTCCTTCCTTTTCCTCCCCAAAAAATTCTGAACATATTCAAAAACATCTTCTCCTCCTTCCAGCCCATGGTCCCACAAGAAAACTAAAATAGTGTTCCAATTTAAGAGACCCTCCTCCTTCTTCTTCTTTTTGCCACATTCTTGCTGACGACGACTGCTTATGCCTCCCTTTTTGAAGAGTAAAGATGAATCTGAAGATGTTGGAAAAAAGGGGGGAGCAAAAAAGAAGAGAAAGAAAGAGAGAGAGAGAGAGAGAGAGAGAGAGATTTGCCCTCCCTCCTCCCGCCTTTTTCCCCCAAAAAGCATGTCAGTGTAGTCAGATTAGTGAAGTGCTCTTCTTCTTCTATTGTGTTGCTCCTCCTCACGAGAAAAGTTTTTTTTTCCATTTTTTCCATATTTTTCTTATTAGTTCAGCTGGAAAATCTTGTTATTTTGGAATACTACGTTCTGAAAAATCTACAATGTTCAGATTTTAGGGTTGGCGGGAATCAAATTTTCGATGGATTTTCATTTTGATGGCCTAGGAATTCCATTTGGAAAATTCCGAAAATCTCGACGAATTTCCCAGAAACTCCCACATTCTGCACTTTTATGAAAACTTCAGTCCTAATTGGGAAATATGAAGAAAATAGATTTTTAGGATTTCCAAAAATAGATATTTTCAGAAAATATCAAAATTCAACTTTTTGGAAATTTATGTTTTTAAGGTTATAGTGAAAAAGGAGCTTTTCCACTTCTCTAGTTTTTGATTCCGGTTTTTAGGACTTTTTGAATTTTTGGAATTTTCTCAAATCCAGATTTTTTTCTACTGTAACTATTCTTTACCAATCTCAGGATCTCAGAATCTCAGAATCTCAGAATCTCAGAATCTCAGAATCTCAGAATCTCAGAATCTCAGAATCTCAGAATCTCAGAATCTCAGAATCTCAGAATCTCAGAATCTCAGAATTTCAGAATCTCAGAATTTCAATATTTCAGAATCTTAGAAACTCAGAATCTCAGAATCTCAGAATCTCAGAATCTCAGAATCTCAGAATCTTAGAATCTCAGAATCTTAGAATCTTAGAATCTCAGAATCTCAGAATCTCAGAATCTCAGAATTTCAATATTTCAGAATCTCAGAATTTCAGAATCTCAGAATCTCAGAATCTCAGAATCTCAGAATCTCAGAATCTCAGAATCTCAGAATCTCAGAATCTCAGAATTTCAGAATCTCAGAATTTCAATATTTCAGAATCTTAGAAACTCAGAATCTCAGAATCTCAGAATCTCAGAATCTCAGAATCTCAGAATCTTAGAATCTCAGAATCTTAGAATCTTAGAATCTCAGAATCTCAGAATCTCAGAATCTCAGAATTTCAATATTTCAGAATCTCAGAATTTCAGAATCTCAGAATCTCAGAATCTCAGAATCTCAGAATCTCAGAATCTCAGAATCTCAGAATCTCAGAATCTCAGAATCTCAGAATCTCAGAATCTCAGAATCTCAGAATCTCAGAATCTCAGAATCTCAGAATCTCAGAATCTCAGAATCTCAGAATCTCAGAATCTCAGAATTTCAGAATCTCAGAATTTCAATATTTCAGAATCTTAGAAACTCAGAATCTCAGAATCTCAGAATCTCAGAATCTCAGAATCTCAGAATCTTAGAATCTCAGAATCTTAGAATCTTAGAATTTCAATATTTCAGAATCTTAGAAACTCAGAATCTCAGAATCTCAGAATCTCAGAATCTCAGAATCTCAGAATCTTAGAATCTCAGAATCTTAGAATCTCAGAATCTCAGAATCTCAGAATCTCAGAATCTCAGAATCTCAGAATCTCAGAATCTCAGAATCTCAGAATCTCAGAATCTCAGAATCTCAGAATCTCAGAATCTCAGAATCTCAGAATCTTAGAATCTCAGAATCTCAGAATCTCAGAATCTTAGAATCTCAGAATCTCAGAATATCAGAATCTCAGAATTTCAATATTTCAGAATCTCAGAATTTCAGAATCTCAGAATCTTAGAATCTCAGAATCTCAGAATCTCAGAATCTCAGAATCTCAGAATCTCAGAATCTCAGAATCTCAGAATCTCAGAATCTCAGAATCTCAGAATCTTAGAATCTCAGAATCTCAGAATCTTAGAATCTCAGAATCTTAGAATCTTAGAATTTCAATATTTCAGAATCTTAGAAACTCAGAATCTCAGAATCTCAGAATCTCCGAATTTCAAAACCTCAGAATCTCAGAATCTCAGAATCTCCGAATTTCAAAACCTCAGAATCTCAAAAATTATATATTTCTGAAATTTTTTTCCATCTTTTCCATCTTTTTCCGCTCATTTTTTTTCTAATGATGTGGTGAAACAGAGCTCTTATTCTTTCTTCTGTCCCATTTATAAACAATCTTTTGCTTATTCTTCCTGTTTTCTAAATTTTTCAAACTTTCCGAAATTCCAAACCCCGCGAATTTTTGAAATTCCCTTTTTATCCTAAATTTCTGATATGTTCCCCGGTCCCCAGTTTCCTCTCATTGCTCATCATTAGTTATTACACTACATGACAACATAATCATTATCGAATTATGAGTAATCACCAATCAGAATGATGTGTATTCCTTTTTTTTCTGAATGTAGGCGTTATGTGTTTTGGAAAAAATGTACATTTGTAAATTTTTGCAAAAAAATATGAGAGCCGTAACCATGGGGATGGGAAAAATGACGTAGAAAAGGATGGAAGTGGAATTTTCGGCCATTTTTTGGGATTTTTGAAATTTATGGAGTCTGAGAATCTTAGAATACCAGAATTTCAGAATCTCAGATTCTCAGAAATCAGAACCTCAAAATCCAAAAATTCTAGAATTCCGGAATCTAAAAAGCTTGTTGAGTTCTATCGTATCTATTTAAGTTGGTCCTAAAATATGACGTAACTTTTCAACTTTTGTTACGTTCATATATTTCAAGAACTCCTGTGTATATCCCTTGGGTGTCCTTTTTCTCTCTCTCTCTCTCTCTCTCTCTCTCTCTCTCTCTCTCCATCCGCCCCCACACAAAAATATCTCTACCAACTCTCTCATCCCAACACACTATTTCCCACTTATTTTGCGACATTGGCTCTCAAAAACAGCGACGACCGACTAGCTTCTTCTTCTTCTTCACGTCTTCTGAATTTTTTTCCCTCTCTCTAAAATTTCCACGTTATATCCATCCAGCCAGCGCCCGTCCCTCACCCCATCTATCCTCCATACATCTCCTTTTTCTCAGCTTCTTCTTCTTATAAATCCCCCCACGTCTTCTTCTTTTTCGAATAAAAAAAGAAGAAGAAAAAGAAGAAAACCGATTGCCCCAACAAAAAGACACAAAACTCTCCGTCCTACTACTACTAACTAGACAGAAGAAGAAGAACAAAAAATTGTTGTTTTACTTTTTTTTTTTTTTGAAAAAAAAATACCAAAAAAAATTTTCTTCTTTTCATATTTGTTTGTTTTATAGCCTTGGCTTTATTGTAAGTTTTCTCAAAATGTTCAAATTTTCAAAAAAAATTTCAAAAACCTGAAAATTCTGATTTTCAGCCAAAAATGATCGCTGCTATCGTTCGTCTCTGCTCACGGTATACCAAAAATCGTGGCCTAGGTTTTTCTGTAGTGGCCTAGTTTTGCGTTTCTAGGCCACCTCACATTTTTTCTATACGCACCGTTCCGTTTTGTTTAAATGTCCGTTCTTTTTCTCTATGGCCTAACTTTCCCAAATTGGAAAATGTTTGGCCACCAATCATGGCCTAGCTTTTCTATACAGTGCCTGTTAGGTCATGACCTAACTTTTCAAAAAAATAAAACAAGGTCACGTGGCCTAGATTACTATTCTTCCATCTATCCATTGTCCCATGTCCCCATGGCCTAACTTTTGGAAAGCTAGGCCACGTGGCCTAACTTTTTGAAAAGTTCGGCCAACACTTTTTCTTCCTCTTCCACCTCTACTACACCATCCTCAATTTTCAAATGTTCCTATTTTTTTTTTGTAAATTCACATCTATCCCAAATTTTCCCAATTATTTTTTTTTTCTTCAATTTTCCGAATTTTTCAGAATGGCGGTGTTCAAAAAGTTGCGTAAGAACAAGGACAAAAGTTTGCCATTGCCAGAGCCGGAAGCTGTCAAACCGCTGGATAAGAGAGTCGGAATTGAGTCGTACAGGTACCTTTTTTTTTTACAAAAACATTGTTTTTGAAAATTGGGATTTCTAGTTCAAAATTTTGTAATTTCGAAGCCAGACCGGAATTCCAAACATTCCTCAAATTCCAGAAAAATTGAACATTGGATTTTTAGTTTCCAGCTCGAAGGGAGCAAGTCTAGAACTCAAATAGAGAGTAAATATGAGAGCAAATTGGGAAAAATCATTTGTTACATATAATTTCTAGGAATTCTAAAAAAATTTAAAAATAAAAAAAAGTCCTGAAATTCTAGAAAGTTTTTCTGAGATTCTGAGATTTTGAGATTCTGAGATTCTGAGATTCTGAGATTCTGAGATTCTGAGATTCTGAGATTCTGAGATTCTGAGATTCTGAGATTCTGAGATTCTGAGATTCTGAGATTCTGAGATTCTGAGATTCTGAGATTCTGAGATTCTGAGATTCTGAGATTCTGAGATTCTGAGATTCTGAGATTCTGAGATTCTGAGATTCTGAGATTCTGAGATTCTGAGATTCTGAGATTCTGAGATTCTGAGATTCTGAGATTCTGAGATTCTGAGATTCTGAGATTCTCTGAGTTTCTAAGATTCTGAGATATTGAGATTCTAAGATTCTAAGATTCTGAGATTCTAAGATTCTGAGATTCTGAGATTCTAAGATTCTGAGATTCTGAGATTCTGAGATTCTGAGATTCTGAGATTCTGAGATTCTGAGATTCTGAGATTCTGAGATTCTGAGATTCTGAGATTCTAAGATTCTGAGATTCTGAAATTCTGAGATTCTGAAATATTGAAATTCTGAGATTCTGATATTCTGAGATTCTGAGATTCTAAGATTCTGAGATTCTGAGATTCTGAGATTCTAAGATTCTGAGATTCTGAGATTCTGAGATTCTGAGATTCTGAGATTCTGAGATTCTGAGATTCTGAGATTCTGAGATTCTGAGATTCTGAGATTCTAAGATTCTGAGATTCTGAAATTCTGAGATTCTGAAATATTGAAATTCTGAGATTCTGAGATTCTGAGATTCTGAGATTCTAAGATTCTGAGATTCTGAGATTCTGAGATTCTAAGATTCTGAGATTCTGAGATTCTGAGATTCTGAGATTCTGAGATTCTGAGATTCTGAGATTCTGAGATTCTGAGATTCTGAGATTCTGAGATTCTGAGATTCTGAGATTAAGAGATTCTGAGATTCTGAAATTCTGAGATTCTGAAATATTGAAATTCTGAGATTCTGAGATTCTGAGATTCTGAGATTCTGAGATTCTAAGATTCTGAGATTCTAAGATTCTGAGATTCTGAGATTCTGAGATTCTGAGATTCTGAGATTCTGAGTTTCTAAGATTCTGAAAT